GGGGGCAGAGGGTGGGAAGGGATAGACTGGGATTTCAAAATTGTAGAATAGATAAACAAGATTACACTGTATAGCACAGGGAAATATACACAAAATGTTATGATAAATCACAGAGAAAAAAATTAAAAAAAAATCAATGGGATTGTGTTACTACATTGCTTACATTCTCCAGGGCTTTTCTGCTGTACTTAGAATGAAAAGCAGACTCCTTATTCAAGTTTGCAGAAGCCTCTACATGCTGGCCTTTGCTTGATTCCCCTTCAGTCTCATTTCATACCACTCTCCCGCTCAGCCCCTCACCTCATCCAGCCTCACAGGTTGTCTTTCAGTTCCCTGGACATGCCAAGCCAGTTCCCACCTTTGCACATCTTTTTATGCGTGTTAGAAGGTCTCTTTGCCTGGAATGATCATCACGGGACTGTCTTCTTATCATTCAGATCTCAGCTTAAATATCACCTCCTCAGAGATACTTCGTCGACTATGGGGATCAGTCAGCTGCTGCTATAATGATGTTTCATAAAAAAACAACCTCAGAGTTCAGTGGCTTAAAAGAACAAGGATTAATCTCACATCCACAGGCCCATGAGATGATTGGGGCAGTCCTACTCTGCATCTCAGTCTAGGGTCCACATTGCCTCCGAGATAAGCAAACAAAAGTTCTCAAGGGTCTAAGGCCCAAACTCTGCACTCACACACTGCCCTTCTCCCCATTGTCCAAATCAGTCCACATGGCCAGCATCAGTGGGGAGGGAAGGTCCTCTTCCCACAGAGGGATATATTTGTGGAACAATTAATCTACTACACTATCAAATCTAAAGCAGCCACACCATCAGTCCTCACCCTCATCTCACCCAATTTTAATTCTCTGTGAATAATTGATTACTCCCTGATATTTTTATGTTTATTTATGAAGTTTATTGTCTGTCTCCCCTTGTAAGAGTGTGTGTTCTCTGAAAGCAAAGATGTTATTTATCTTCTTCAATGCCATGTTCCCAGCACATGGAACAGTTTCTGGCTGAGATGAGGTACCTAGTAAGAACAAATGTTAGCTTCAGATATTGGTAAGGGGAGAAGGAACTGGAAAGCCAAGTATTTTTTCTCCCAAATCCAATCTACACAAATACCTTGGTCTTTTAAACCAATGGTTCCTCTTCTTGTAATTCCTCCATCTCTTCCAGTATTGTCTTCCAATAATGTGGGTGGGATCATGCTGACCTGCCTTTCATGCTTTGCTTTTTATTACCCATCCATGTCTTTGTGCCAGATATTAGCTTTAGAAACTGTACTTGAATGCAAAGGGACCTGAGAGACAGTGCCTTAGAACTCAGATACTCAAATCAATCTTTTCTTCCAGTTTCTTGGGGAAAATCTTCACCAGAGCTTTGACCCTGTCTGAATTGGGCTCCCCTAGAAGCTGACGTTGGCACAAGGATTGGAGTACACGTAGTTTATTTGGGTGCATGGACACGGGTTGGGGAGTGGAGAAATGACATAGGGAAGGAAAGACAGCCCACAGTGGGTTTATTATTAGACCAGCTACCATCAGGAGCAACTGAAACTTAATCCCACCAGTATTAACAATTTACCTGAGAATGGGCCCAGCCAAGAGGAAAGGGAGCTGGGCATTTATGCCCCTGCACCTGTCAGTCATTAAAGGCTGCCCACGGGAGTGGAGGCAGAAGGGCAGGAGGTGGGGAAGTGTTAGCTCCTAGGCGCTTCCATCCAGTTTATAGGACAGTGTGGGTGCTGGCAGCCTGAGGCAGGCTTCTGAGCAAGATGTGGCTGTTAGCCTTTGGAAGTCAGGTGAAGTACAGGGGAAGTTTGAGGGGGCTAGGAGCACAGGAGATACCGATTAGCCTTTTTTTGTTTGTTTTTCTTTTAAATGAGTTTTGTTGTGGTATAATTGATATATAATAAACTATATATATTTAAAGTGTACTATTTGATGAATTTTGACATATGTATATACCCATGAAACTCACCACAGTCAAGATTGAACATAGCCATCGCTTCCAAAAGTTTTCTCCTGCCCTTTTATAATCCCTCCCTCTGGCTCCTCCTCATCCCTAAGCAGCCTCTGACCACTTTTCTGTTAAAATAATTTGCACTTTCTAGAATTGTACGTAAATGGCATCATACAGTATATGCTTTTCTGTTTCTTTTGTTCAGTATGATTGTTTTGACATGCATCCATATCGTTGCATGTACCAAAATTCATTCCTTTTTATTGCTGAGTAGTATTCTATTGTATGGATATATCTATTCTATTCTGTTGGATTAGATATATCACAAGTTTTTTTATCCATTCATTGGTTGATAGATACTTGGACTGTTTCTACTTTTTGGCTATTATGAACATTTTTGTACTAGTCTTTGTGTGGACATATGTTTTCATATCTCTTGATGTCACATTGGTAACTTGGAATTGGCTGTGACCAGAGTATCTATATCATGGAAATTGGCAAACACTACAAATTCAAGGCTTTTCCTCCAGAGATCCAGCTGTTAGACACCACCACAGCATTAGATATACGTTAGAATTGGAATTAATGAATCAAAGGGTATGCACTTAAAAAAAAGCCATGATATATATTGTCAAGAATACCTTCCCAAAAGGGTGTAACTTTCTTGTTTATATCCGTAACGTCATTTCAAAATGTTAAACTTCCTTCAAGTAAAAAATCCACAAAGTCTAAGATGCTGATCTTTCCCCAGGGTAATATTGCCATGTTTCCTATTGTAGTAAGGAGCAGTAACTTTTGAGTATTTCAGAAATATTAAAAAAATATTTCCAGACAGATACTTATATATATAATGCTTTCATAACAGGGAAAAAAAGACATTAAGAAAATCAGACCAGAAAGGTGACATAATCAACGAAGGGGGATGAGGAAAAAGGAAACACAAGATATTAAATCCTTGTTCCTCTGGTACATGGAGTTTTCTGGTTATTGTTTATAAAGACACATATTTTCATATAGTTCTAGCCCAGTGAACGCATACCATTTCTGCTTTACTCATTTCATATTATTTCACATCACATTTCCACATGTGAATGTAATCATTTTTATTTGAACTACTTCATAATATTCTATTATTATTCCCCTATTGTTGAGCATTTGGGTTGTCTTCAATATAATGTTTATAATATTTATAATGTTTCAGCATTATAAATAGGATGTCTTCCTGCAAATTCCTTCTTTTGCCTTGTAAATTATTTCCTTGGATTAGCTTCCTTAATGTCCTCTTTTCCTCTGTCCATTACTTGTTTATTTTGTTCCATATAGGCACTTCTTCTCTTTCCTGTCCCAACCCTATACTTGACAGAGTTATGTGTTCTTGCTATGTACTGTCATGGCACTCTATATTTCCTCCATTACAACCTACCACACCGTCTTTAATAGTGTTTTATTTCCCCCAGCTAGACTGTAAATTCCACCAGAGAGGGGCCGTATTGTTTTTTCCTCTTTGTTAGTTCCCCATTGCTTAAAATGTAGGTGCTTAATGTGTATTTGTTGATCTATCAATCTATTTTATTTTTTTTCCTTTCTTCTTTCTTCAAGTCTCATTTGACATTAATTCCCAGAGGAATTAATATATGAACTACCCTTTTGCGTCCTACTCTAAACCTACTGGCCTTGCTGTAGTTAGATAATTACTAACTCTGACTAAGCCTCTTTTTGGCATGAAGCCCTGTCTCCTATAATGAGTCAAAGGTCAAGGCTAGTCAGTACTTTGCTCAGAGATGACTTGATTACAGGTGATAACATTTTTAAAGGATTAAATTAGGTAAACCTGCAAAATTAACTTTCTGACTCTTCCAAATGCAGCCTTGTACCTAAAATGGGTGTGTGTTAGGTAGGGTTCCCTGGAAACAGGAGCGGTGCACAGGAGTGTGTGGAGGAGTCCTCTAGAGAGATACACCTGTGGGGAACTGAAGGCTGCAGGCCCAGATAGAGGGAGAAGTTGGACTGTGACGCAGAGCCCTCTGCCGACCCTGTGGGAAGCTCTAGAGCTGGGGTGACCCTTTAGGGTTGTCTTAAATTGGGGTGAGAGAATGGGGACCTCGTATCTGCCCCTCATTGGCCAGTGGTTGAATTTGGGCTGCACCCGGGTA